GAACGCACAGGAACGGAGTTCCAGCTGGCTCCCGAGTTGGCCACGCCCAGCAGGAACTCATTAGCATAATAGGCCACACCCAACAGCAGAAACTCATTGGGATTGGCTACATTAGGGGTGTGTAGCCTAACATGCAAAGGGTTCCTGCTACAAAAAAAAGCCCTGGGTTTTGACAACAAACAAGGTAAATAGAATAAGAAGCAAAAGGTGGGTGTGGCTGGATGACCACACTTCTGGTAATGTGGGGGTGTGGCCTAATATGCTAATGAGCTGCTATCTCAGGGTGTGGCCTAATATGCTAATGAGTTTCTGCTGTTGGGTGTGGCCTATTATGCTAATGAGTTCCTGCTGGGCTTTTTCTACCAAAAAAGTCCTGAGTACAAGTAACCCCAGAAAGAGTGAAGTGACTGGGCCAAAGCCGAAAGGACGTGGTCCATGGGGTTGTGAAGAGTCGGACTCGATTGTGCGACTGAACAACAACAACAACAAAATTCCCCATTACTATGTATAGGTATGAAAGTCGGACAGTGAAGAAAGCTGATGGGAAGAAAGTTTATTAATTTGAAATGTGGTGTTGGAGGAGAGTTTTATGGATACCATGGACTGACAAAAAGACAAATAAGTTGGTTCTGAACCAAATCAAGCCTGAACTCTCCCTAGAAGCTAAAATTGTTAAACTGAGGCTGTGGAGAAATGCCTTGTCTCCTGGGAGGTTGGCAACAAGCAGGGCTTCAATGGGCGGGTTAACCATATTTTCTCTCTCTCTGAGCTAAGAACAAGCAGGGGGGGATTAGCCCATGGCCTTCCAGACACATCTCTTGCTAGAGTTGCCAGGTCCCCTCGTCGCTCAGGCAGGGAGGTTTGGGGGGCATTCTGGGGGGGGGGATGCCCCACACCCAAGCCTTACACCCATGAGTGACCACCTGGCCACCCATTTCCCTCCCCTCCTGCCTAATTTAAAGGGCTTCAGCTGATCAACAGGGACCATGTGGCCCGCCAACCAGCTGGAGGGCCCTTTAAATCTAGCTGGAGGGAGGGAGAGGGGTGGTTGCAGACCACAACCTCAGCTAGCTGGGGGCAGATTGGAGCCCCCAAAAGCAAGGGAAACTCTGCCCGGACCTGGGGGCTAGCAACTCTCAGGATGGACCAGTTCACACACACCCTTTCTCCTAACAGGGAATAGGAGCCAGAAAGACTTTACACTAGACAGGCTTTCAAGAAGGAACTTCCTGGGGACAACAGGAAAAGAAGCCTTGACCTGGGCTGACTGGGGTCAAGGGGGAGGAGGAACAGAGGGGATAAATTCTCCTGGCAACAGGAAATTGCTCTCTTCTCCTTGGGTTGCTGAGCTGAACAGACTGCTTCTCTGACGCCGGGAGCAGACCTCCATTTTGGATCATTCAACTGGCCTAGAAAGCTGGACTAACCCTCAAGGTAATGGACGATCTTTAGAGAACTAGGACACCTAAGATAAAGAGCCTGTCCTAATTTTAACATCTAGTTAGGGCATGTTTTAGAGACAGGGAAAGGATTTGTGTTTACCAATTTCTTTTGTTCTTCCTTGCTTCAATCTGGCATGGTGCTAAAAGTATGTTTGTAAACGTTTTCTTTTTAATAAATATCTGGAAGTGGTTCTCTGTACCACATAGGCCCCCACTGTTTCGGACACGGTATTTTAAATCATATATGATCTTTGGGGAGAGTGAGTATTTTGTGTCTGTGTGCTTGCGAGCCTGGAAGTCATGGTGACTTCTGGTGACCCCTACTGGGGCTAGGACATTTCAGATAAGTGCCTTGATATTATCTGCCTCTTTGTCCCAACCCTGGTATTCCTTGGAGGTCACCATTCCAAGGGCTTGCCAGGGTTGGCCCTGCTTAGCTTCTGAAATCTGACGAGATTGGACTTCCCTGGGCTATCCAGGTCAGGGCTGGGGACACTGAGGAATTTCACATTACCCTTTTTAACCCGTTTTGAAGATCAAAAATTCTGTCGTGGAGTAAACTGGTATAGGGCTGCCATTTCATACATGGGTTTCCCCTTCTGGTAAAGAGCTGGATCTGAAGCGGTTTGCCATTTCAGACTGCACCGCTTTTCCCCCGCCTATTTTCACCCGCACGGGCAATCTCCGGCTTTTTTTTTAACGTTCGCTTTAGAGCGCTATTGCACTATAGTGCTATAACACAACACTCCAGGCATTCCAGTGGGGTTGATATAATGCTGTTTCGTTATAGTGTTATAGCGCTATAAAGCAAACATTCAAAAAAAAACCAAGCCAGAGATCACCTGCGTGGGTGAAAAACGGCGGGGAAAAGCGCATCGGAACTGGGAGAGGAAACTGAAGACTACTTGGAAGCAGTTGACAGGTAAAACGCTTCAGCCCTGTTTCCTAACCGGGACAGAAGCATTTGTGTGTGAAATTACAAATATATTCCGGTAGGGAACCTGTTCTAAAATGGTTCTGTCTGAAATGACAGACCAGAAACTGTTTGGGAACCGTTCCTCTTCCAGATTATATCGTCTGTCTGAAATTCCTCACTATTTTAAAGAGGAGCCCCAGGAGGGGGCAGGGCAAGCAGTTGGCAACTGACTGTTCCCCCAGGGGCACACAAAGCATTAAACTATCCCCGTGGTAGCCAGGCGCTGGGATAGCAGGAGACACTGAGGCAAGGCCTCGGAGCTTGGAAGGGGAGCCAAGGGTCCTGGT